GAAAGAGGTGGTCTTAAGATGCCCAATTTAAGATTGTATTATGAAGCTGCTGCCCTCTCAGCAATCACAGATTGGATAAACTTAACGGAGGAAAAGATATTGAATATTGAAGGATATGGTTTGGTTTATGGCTGGCATACTTACTTAGTGTATGATAAGAAAGTAGATAAGACTTTTAAAAGTCATATATTAAGAAATGCTCTATTGCGTGTCTGGAAAAAGTATAAATATAAACTAAATGATAGGTTACCAATATGGACAGTACCCAGACACGCGATAGAGAACATAAATTTAGAGCAAAAGCAAGATAAGATTACATATAAGGAACTCCTTTATAAGGAAGGAGTCAGACTACAGTTAAAATCCATGGAACAATTAAAAGAAGAAGGGATTATTAAGACTTGGTTTCAATATGGACAGCTGCTGGCCAGATGGAGAGAAGATCAAAAAATTGGTATTTTGCAGCAGGATGAGAATTTGATAAAGCAAATAAGAGATGAAGGTCAAATGCACATAAAAAGGTTGTACAATGCATTATTGGAAATAGATTCAGAAACAGACTTAGTCAAGGATTGTATGATAAAATGGGCACAAAATGTAGGTGAACCAATAATGATGGAAACATGGGAAAAGATATGGGTTAGAAATGTAAGATTTACACAAGCACAAAATTTAAGGGAGAATTTTTACAAAATGTTTTATAGATGGCATTTAGACCCCAAAAAACTAGCTTGTATGTATCCAAATTTACAACCCAAGTGTTGGCGATGTGAGTGTGAAGATGCTACATATTTTCATATATGGTGGACATGTAAAAAGATTAAGGCTTTTTGGATAAAAATATGGTGGATTATTCAAAATATTTTGAAGAAAAAAATTAAATTTACACCACAGTTTTTTCTGTTGGGAATAGTTACGGATTGTACTGTAATAGAGACTAAGCTGGTTTTGAACTTAATAACAGCTGCCAGGTTACTGGTGGCACAGTACTGGAAGAAGGAAGATCCACCTACTATTGAGGAATGGACATTAAAAGTTGTACATTTGGCGGAAATGGCAAAAATTTCATCATACCTTAAAGACCATTCAAATGAGAGAGATATATCGGAATGGAGAAAATGGATTGATTACATACAGAAGAAGTATCCGAATAAGAAGATTCATATAGCTTATGAATGAAATAATATTAAGTAGTTTATGTTTGTTTTTTCTGAGTTATAAGGAGTTAAGGACCTAGGGAGAATATGAAATGTAATAATTTGTTAGCACATCTTAGTTCTTGGTTTGTGAATGCTATACCCTGTGCTCGTTCTGGGAAGTCTAGGGAGGGGGGTGGGGGGAGGGAGGGGAAGGGAGGGTGGGAAGGGGAGGGGGGGTTGAGGGGGGAAGGGTGGGGGGTGAAAATGTTTGTATTTTTCATAAAACTTTTCAATAAAAAAAAATTATACATTATGACTGATAACCTTTTTTTTTTTTAAAAAAAATCAATTTTAATCTATTATTAAACTAGTATAAGGCAACTGGTCGTGTTCCTACAATTATTTGCTTTTTTTCTTTCACTGGACAGAATAACAGCTGGAAGTGGACTGCCAAGGAAACTCCCTGTCAAACCTTGGGGTTTGCCTTACTGGGGTTGGGGGGAGGGAAGGTCCTGGTCAGTGGTGGGTTGTCCCTGGTTCGGACCAGTTCTCAAGAATTGGTCGTAAAACCAGTGGGAGGCCGTGCCCACCGCCCCGGATGTTGTCATCAGCGATCCCGTTGCGAACCGGTGGTAAAAGTTAAGTAGAACCCACCGCTGGTCCTGGTGGTGAGGAAAAGTTCGTTATGCCGTTTGAGACTCTCCATAATGAACAGTCCCCTGCATATTAAAGCAAAGGACAGTAAAAGTAACATGCTGAGTCCAGTGCTAGCTCCTCTGTGAATGAGTGGATATATAGCCCTACAACGAACATGGGGAAAGGAAGATGGCTTTGAATGGTTTACTGAAAAAAAATGATCAAAAGCTAGAACAAGTGATAAAAACAAGAAGAGGGGAATATTAGTGTAGACTTTTTATATAAGAAAATGAAAGTAATAACAAGAGAAAATGTGGAATAATTGAATAATGATAGACTATAAATTAATATAAGTATGCATTATTATTAGAAACCTATAAGCAGATTGAATGCAAGGATTATGATTAACTTGATTAGCTTTATTTGTATTAGAATGTATGACACTCAGGTGCCACACTGTTCATGCATTGATTTGATATTTTGATAAAAAAAAAACTTGGGGGGAAAAGGAGAGAGGTAATTTTATTGTGTCTTTCCCGCTCTGCCAAGTACTTGGTTATCCCTCCTTGAAAATAATCAACTAAAGTTGCAAGGCTTGTTTATCAACATTCCGCCTCCTTAGGAAATAAGCGATATGATGTCCTTCTTGTCTTTCTAATATCAGATTCACTCTAGGAGGAGTTCTGCAGTTTTCCAGTTCTATCACCATCATCTCCCTTTCCACAGAGAATCAACACACCCCAAAATTGGGCATCAAGACTTCCTAGTTCCATTTTGATATATTCTCTGGCAAGTTTAAGAGAGAATAACCCCTCCACTATCTGAGATCCAGAATTTTGTAAGTATGAACAATTAAGTTTCAACCAAAAGGGAAAAAAAACCCTAGAGTACTGCACTGAAAAAGATGCACTGGAGATAGTGGCTTGTCCAGATTTTGTCCTTAGCCACTTTATGGCCTGTCTTTCACCAGCAGCAAGCCAAGAAACCTTTTAAAAAATGAAAGAATATGACTGGATTTTGTAAAATCATCAGTAGAAGGCAAAATGGATGGATGGATGAACATAGACATTTTCCTGTCAAAGAGAAACTGGCTGAGCTGAGTGAAGGGAATCAAATAGGGAATTAGTCTGGAATCCTTATGCGGGCATAAGAGGGTAAAGTCTGACACCTCTTGAGTGCCATTGAAACTTATCTAGTCTGTCTTAGGTGCAAACTATCAAAAAGCTAATTGAACTCTTTGCATGTGGATCTGTTCGTTTGCGGCTGACATTATCTTCATTGCAGGCACATGCCCTTATAATACTACCTATACTGAAAAACATAACAAAATATTTTGCCCTACCTGCCCTGGGCATGCAGAAGTAGTTGCAATGAGCAAACTGAATAAATTTTCCCTGTGATATTGACTTATCTTTTTCTGGGTAATTCATTGTGAGCCGACAAAGCGAATAGAATAGAATAGAATAGAATAGAATTCTTTATTGGCCAACTTGATTGAAATTCACACTCTAATCTTTTCCAAATCCTTTCTGAACTCTCAAGTAGTCCTTGTTTGACAAGGTTAAAATAGCTAAGAACCTAATAATGAATTAAAGACAGATATGCTTATTTCATTGAAATGTTTCTTCTTGAATTACTGGCTTTCTTTATAGAAGTTTAGTAGAACTATAGTTTCTTACCAAAGTCTGCCTTAAAAATAGCTTGTAGTGACTGCTGACTTTTTGCTTTAAGGAATATTCCAAAAATGATTCTCAACAATAATATTTTAACTTCACTCAAATGCAAGAAGAATAGCTAGAGCAAGCTACGATATCTTATTAGGGAACTTCATTTGCTGAGTAAGGTGAAATATAATGATTGCCTCTTGTGTCAAGTTATGGGTATAGAGAACATGAGGGAAATCATTCTCTGAGGCTGGAATTACTAGCTAATCTACAAGCTTATAAAAATACAAATAAATCCAATGTTCACAATCCTCTTGTTCACACAAATTAATATTCATGCAATACAACCCAAACAAAGGGAAATAGTAGTTTGCAGAGAGCACTAAGAGCTCAACAGTACAACCTGAACTACACATGTTCACAAGTAGCACCTTACCTAGGGCAACAGAAGTACACAAGTAGCAACGTACTAGGGCAACAGTTATTGTCAGTTTCTTAGAACTCTTCATCAGACAAGATGGTCAAAATAACGAAATTTAAAGATGAGTCACTGAGTAGAGTGACTAGTGCATCCTCTCCTAATGCAAGCAACTGTAACTATGAATTCAATTTCCAGATGATCTGTGTTAAGTAAGTTGAAATTCTTTAGATTTTCATTCTTGAATTTAATCAGTATTGTATTGAATTTATTCAGTATTCAATGTTAAAGATACTGCTATAAGAATTATGCCATATAACATGTGCATATAGCACTATGTAACATGGTCACTCATAATTGATAACTGACTGAAAATAATGCTTTTGAAAGGTCAGAAAATAAAAAAGCTAAATTTCCTCCATCACCAACTGTGTGTTAAGTACAATACCATTTTATCAGTACAATACTCAAAACTTCTGATGAAATAAACAGTAATCCCTGAAAATTTATAGAATAATTCAGTCCTTAAGGTGCACCAAGATTCCATTATATTTTCCTGGATTGTAACTTCAACTGCTTTTGCTCCACTCATTTTCTCTGGGTATAGGCATCAAAGTAAACCTTTCCAATTGGCAAATATATGATGAATATAACACAAGTTTGCTGTAAAGGCAACTGAATACAATTTAGAGTGAGAACAATCATTAAAGCACTTTTAGATGGAAAAATGTTTAAGCATACCCTAAATTTTGATTTGTGCAATGAGGATGGGGAGAAAATCTCTACCTCCTGTAGCATGGCCTGCATAATTCACCTGAAACAAGAAACATTTTCAATGTTTTCTTAAACATTGAACAGATATATGATTTTTGCTAAATGCTGTATATTTCTCTTTTTCTTGAAAAAAAGTGAAGTGCTAAATCTCCATTACCAAATATCTGTGTATACATACAGTATCTATGCCATACACTTAGTAGGTATATGTATACTCTTAACATTAGTTACTTGCCTTGCGAAGTTGGATTCTAAGGCCCGGTTTTCCCACTAATGACAAATCCAGAAGTGATATATAACTGAGCAATGTAAAAATGGTGTCTCCCATTTTTTCTAAGCTTTACCAAAGCCATGACCATTTCATCTTACCTTGTCAGTGAGGCATTCAGACTCTTCTGTCAGAAGGTAAACGTTCCCACTTTCAGCCATAAGGATAGTAGTGTCTGTAGTAGATGAAGATCTTGGCCGGCCTTGATGTTGATGCAGGATTGCTGTCAGGCTGCTATCCTGGGGGGCCCTGCGCACAAGGTGTGGACTGCTTTTTTGTGGTTCTACGGAGCCACTCTTGGCTCGGCGACTGCCACTATGCAAACTGGTTCCTCTCTTGATGGAAGGACGGGAGCGAATCTGCTGTAACACCCTGTTGAAGGCAGTGGGTCGAGCTGGGAGATCATGGAGAGACACAGCATAAGAGACACGATGCATCTCAGGAGAACGTTCTTTTTCATCAGGGGAGTCATGATCAGACATGCCATGGTGTTGCTGGGATGACTCCTGGGAATTCTGATGCTCCCGTTCCCGGGATCGCCTACGACTATGGAAAAGATGTTTGAGTCCATGACCAAACATAGAACCTTCAGACAGCTGTTGTATCTTCTGTTCAAGGAAAGAAGACAAAATATTGGAAAGATAGTTATGGAAAGAGCTACATAAAATTTGTTGCAAAATATAAATGAAATATGAAAATATGAAAAACCCCATTCTCCCCATGCCACCCCAAATCACAATTTTGCAATTGTCTATTGTCACTGACTGGTGTCATTCTTTTGAAGTCCAGATTTCATCCATATGAAGTGCACATCATAACCAAGAATCCTGGACACTATGCTTCCTCATCACATTAGTAAATTCCTGTGTTGCTCTATCTGCAATATATGATACAGTACATTGTTTCCCCTTTGAAAGGTAGCCAACATCAGTTGCTATGGAGTGCTATAGAAAAAACCATGGAGAAGGAATCCCGAGGCCAGTAGGAAAATGCCAAGTGCAGAAAAAATATGCATTAAATCTAGAGAGGTGCAAAAGCATTCCAAAAGACTAGTTCCTCATCTGACTTCCTCAGATATCAGAGGGAAGGAAAGAAGATCTGGACAGACTTGCAAGAATAAGTTATGTAAATAAAGTTTAGTTCTATTTTTCTGTGTAGTCTGTTTCCTAGTATGGTTCATCTTGAAGGGGTGACATCAGCAATAGTCAGAGACTTGTGCTGAAGAAGTAGGAGTAGAGAGTAAAGAGGCAGGCCTTGATGGAGACAGGAACGATCCATTACCAAGGCAACAGTCAGATAAAGTGTCTTGAGCCTATATCAAGAAAGAGTTTTACAAAAATTCTAGAGAACTCTCCTCCCTCCATCATATTAGAGAAAAGGAAAAAAGAGGGATACCACATTTGGACTTGTAAGATTCTGTTACTATAACTATTCTAATAATTGTCATATTAGGTCCACACAGTTTCTTATAAGGCTGAGAGTAGCAAAACTCTGAAGAGGATGAAAGTGAATGCTTAGGGATAAAGGGTAAAGGGTAAGAAGACATAAAAATCATATGATTAGAAGAGCTGCAATTAATTGAGTATCCTTTAACATCATAGGGACATACTGTCATAATATAACTTACTACCTACTCACCATGCTATTTTGTTTTGGGATAAGCAAGGTTATGTAAAGCATAGAAAATGAGCCAAAGGAATTAGATGTAAGAAGAAAAGAAAATATAGCAAAATATACTTTATATACCATCACCATTCACTATTCTTCTCCATTCCTATTCTTGTAAATCATCCTGTTTCCCCTAGATTTACATATTGATATTGTCATTTGTTCTTTCACATTGGTGTATTGTTCCTTCTAAAGATACGTTTCTTATGTGATGGCAAACTTACTAAATCATGAAAGTCCTTCATCATTGCTATGTGTCATTTGAAACATGGCATCGTAAGGAATATCCATTGGATATTTTGAATATCAAAGCAGCTCACGGAATTCCCAATCTAAAGTCTAACTTGTGTGACAACAATATCGTGAAAATATTTTGTTTTGCCTTGTAAATCTTAACAATATTTCCAAATGAAATATTTCTTTTCGCCTTTCTTAGTATGATTTAATTAGAAAGCGGCCCCGAAAGCTTGATCAGTCTGTTACATATGCAGTGTTAACTCTACTTCTATTTCTTTACTGCTCTCCATTGGCACCGGCTATTGCCAAAGCCACAATCTGAAAAGCCTAAGGGAAAAGTTACTCTAAGGAAGAGCAACGTGCTCTGTAGGCTCTGTTGCTTTTGCCAAACCACAAGACAAGCTAAGGTTACAGATATTGGAAGGTAAGCCTAATAGAGATACATCGTATAAATAAAAAGACCAAAAGGAGAGAAAAGTTCCTACAGTATTCATAAATGAAGGCCCATGAGATTATAGATATAAGCTGTTCCAAGTAAAGCTGCTGTTTGCCATTGACTGAGGGTGATTTTATTAATAGCAATGATGGTGGCATTATTATTTTATGATAAAAAATAAGCAATAAGCATTCAGGAAAATATGCAAATTGTAGGACACAAATCATTGCTTATTTCTTCTATCAATGTTTTCTACTTGTACAGAACTAGAGGTGGGCTGCTGGGGGTTTGCAGGGGTTCGGGAGAACCTCTAGCTAAGATTCTGTGCAGTTCAGAGAACCCCCAAATCCCACTCCTGGCTGGCCCCACTCTACCGCCCCACCCCTCTGAGGAGTCCCTACGTGGCCCGTTTTGGATGCAGGTAAGTGCAGGGCGCACACAGAGACTCAGGGAAGGTGAAAAATGGGCCTACCGGAAGTTCAGGAAGGGCAGAAATGGGCCTGTTTCCGGCCTCCAGAAGACCTCCGGATCCTGGGGAGGCCGTTTTCGCCTTCCTGGAGGCTCGAGAAAAGCCTCCAGAGCCCGGGGAGGGCAAAAATGCCCCCCCACCCTGCCGTGATACAGGACCACGCCCACCATGGCCACGCCCACCATGGCCACGCCCACCATGGCCATGCCCACCCAGCAACTGGGCAGAAAACTCTTTGCTAAAATATTTGAAGCCCACCCCTGTACAGAACCTTTACTCTGATGCAATAGGAAGCAAGAAAAGGCTAATGATGGGTCAAGTCAAGAGTCATATACAAAAAAAGTGATCATGTTACTGCACAAGACATTAATCAACAGAGGATAATAGAATGCTATAAAATTCCATTAAAAGCCTAGCTATTGTTTTCTTATTAAAGTTTTGAAACCTTTCAGACCTCCCTGCCTCTTTCTAAAGTTCTTCTACTTTTTGAGTTTCTCAAGTTAATAATCCCTTCTACAATGAATGTGGAGAGATCCTGACATACAGTTGTCAACATATGGCCTGTGTGCATACATTTCTGGATTGGAACAGTAATCCACAAAACATGAGATGACAAATAGATCAGACTGTTTCCAATTCTGTCTCACCCTATAAAGTAAAACATAAGTGGGATAAATAGCTCTTCTTGCATCAGACTAGTAATATGTGGTAACATGATAGGGTTGAGAATACTATAACAGAGAATCATCTTTAATCCACATATCCAATATGGATTAAAGATGATTCTCTGTTATAGTATTCTCAACCCTATCATGAATACAAATATTATTGAATAATAATTTCTTTTGTGAACCAGCCTTATGTCATTGCAAACACCCTGGTATTTCAATCACTAAACATCCTTTTTGCTAGTTAAATAAGTTAGTAGTAAAAGATTCACTGAGGACAGCCCTTTTTACATTAGTATTTATAGACAGGATATAGGTTTTAGAATTCCAGAATTTAATATTAACTGGCCTTTCACAAAATATCTGAGGCTAAGATGTATGAAAAACAGAATCCGGTGTTTTGAACAAGTTATAATTTGTCATCCATATCCTACGGATTGTTATCTTAGAAAATTATTTTTGAAAGAGGGGGAAATCTCTCTACTGAATTGTTGCTTTGGACATCACAATTTAAAGTTTATTCTATTTATAGTGTTTCTATGGAAACAGTGTACATAAGATAAAAAAGAACTACAAAACCTACAGATTTCTCCCATCACGATACAAGATGGATTTAGATTCTTCATCTGCCTTTAAAAAGACTCATGGGAACCAAAATGAACAGTTCCCACATTTTAAAAATAACTAAAGTAAAACATTAAAAAGAGAAAGTTGGTGACAGAGAAGGAAAAACAAGTTATTTTGACAGCAACATACAAAGACTAACTTAATCTCATTTTTTCCATTAAAAGGGAGTAGGGGTAGGAGTGAATTGGGGGTGACAGCTAAAAAGCAAATGAAATAAATGACAGCTGAAATTTTTGTTTTGTACATTATTCAGGAAGAAACATAACACAGAAAGAGAACAAGTGGTCACACCAAGTAACTCAGCCTCCAGCTTTGTGTTGGAACTACAACTCCCAGAACTTCCCACATTGCAGGACTCTGCTGGAGTATTGTAGTCCTAACACATCTGCAAGATACCAGCAAACAGCAGTGGTATCCAATTTCATGCAGTGTCAAGAGTTACTTACAAGGTTACATATAGTTGACAGAGAAGCAACTGTTTTTGAAAAATACATTGCTTCTGGATAATTCACATTCCCACAGAATTTGACTACAGACACTACGGGTTCATTCACAATACGAATGCTTAGGTTTAGCGGTAATGTTTCTTGCTGAATTGGTACCAGAATATTAAGCAGAATATTACTTATTAAATGGTCAGTTGGAAACCAAACCCACCTGATCTCTTTTTTTTTTTGATAGAATGACCACATTAGTCAGCAATGGGAAATGTAGCAGATATAGTGTACCTTGATTTCAACAAAGCTTTCACTGCAATTCTAGTAGAGAAGATGGCAAAATTAGGCCTGGACTAGGCTACTAATAGAAAAATACAAAGATGGTTGTATTTGCCAAAGAATATATACATTAATACCCTATATCAAGCTGGAGGGAAGTATAGTTGAATTGCAATAGGGCTTCATGCTTGTCCAATGTATGCATAAATAAATATAGTGTTATGGGAACACAGAAATGCAATGCTGAAACCAGAATGGAATAAATACTGCAGATGAAAGAATCCTAATCATATCCAAAATGAGGAAAAATAATAGGAGTTTTTTTTCTTTAACAATATACGTATTTTTATCACCCTAATTTTTGGTGTTTTGTTCTTTTTTTTGGTCAATATTTTAAAAGCAATAAAAATAAACCAAACCCTGCCCCATTGCTATGTACCTCACAGGAGCTATTGAAACAGACTTGATGACCACTTATTACAGATGAAGTAGTAATGAATTCCTGCACTGGATGTTGAATTCATTCAACAACCACAAGTGGGACCATGGGTTATTAAGTGAAATGATTGCTAAGTGAAACCATGACTATGCTTATGATCTTCCTTCAGCTTTCCTTTGCTTTATAGACCTGCAAACGTTGTAAAAGTGAAGATTAGTTATAGACACTTTTTCATCACCGGTCACTAAATGAGGACTACCTGTTCTTGATCTCCAAGTCCCTTCCAAGCCTTACATTTTTCTGATTCTATGGTCCTCAAACCTTGAATTTTATGATAGCTCTGCCCCT